GCTGCTTCTTGCTGGTATTGCCCCAGAAAATAAGCGAGATTTTATACAGTCTGCCTTTTTTAATTACGTTTTGAAACAGTATAAATAGTTCAAATAATTAAAAGCTATGCTTGAATATACCTTTAGAGCGCGATAACGTCGAAATTCCAAAGTTTTTAGAGCATTTCGGCGGTTTCAAGGATTTTAAAGTTATGATAATTGAAATATATCTTATAACTTTCTTTTTGTCTGCTTAAGAACGTTATTCTATTACTTTTAGATAGCCCAACGATTCCGAAAAAAATCCAAAAGACGAGCTGAATCGGCCGGCAATACACGACACTTACACTGGGTACGCAATCCTTGCCACACACATCCTTTCCCTTATCCATTAGACGATGAACAAAATCAATTCCCCAATGGCTTTAATAATTGTATGTCATTATAAATGCATTTTCTTGATTTATCTATTTTCTACTTGTTTCCGATCCATTTTCAACCTGTTTTTGGTGTTTTTCTCTACCTGTTCCTTCCCAGCGGTGTGCCAATAAACGAATTCTGCCCATTTTATGGAAAAATACGATAAATATATATTTTAAGGAGGTTGGAAAGCGTAATTATAAAAATTACGAGAAGAAAATTGTGAAGACGAAATTGAAATTATTTAGAGGTTTTAGACAAAATCAAATTAAGTACGGTTTTAAAATTTAGAGGCCATGTTTACTCATATTTAATTTTTGTTACGTGAAGATATCTACAACAAATTTTATGTCAACCCCCTCAATTTTTAAGCGACCACTGGGCCACCGGCCAATCAAATTCCACCAATTTCTCCCGAAAAAGGTGTAGGTGGGTTCCGAACGATCTATTCGTAATCGCCCCCACTACGACGACAATAAATTGAATTTTTGCCAAAAAAATATTGGAGATGACGCGCCGGGTGCCGAGAAGAACGGGTGAGCACGTGGTACTACCTGAAGCTGAAATTTTAAACTCTATATTTATGTGTTCATTTTCAGGCTGCTTCTTGCGAAATGTTCTGGTTGTCCAAAAATTTTCAATTTGGTGATTGTCACGTGGTAATTGCAACGAAGGCCGAAAAGGCCTCGGGGGTTTTTGTGTTATTTTGTAAATTTTAATATTTTAAGAAGTTCCCAGATGCCCAAAAATTGCATATTCCATTTTTCACATAAATACTTTAAGTGAAAAGCAAAAATTTGAATTATTCCAGTAAAAGTGAATTCTACCAATATTTTTCCGACAGAAATTTTCTAGAGGTGCGCAATAAGTTCACCGATATCGTTTACAAAACTTGTTGACGCTCGAAGCAAATGAGATAATTCTAATACGATTTCAGCAGGCGTGCAAAATCCAACGTCAAACTTCAAAGGGAACACACGGACTTTTTCAAAAAATCCCCAAGGGCACAATTTAGGGCATGGAAAAAGTCGAGTGATGTATTTTGTCTGCCTCGATTTGTGCCGGATTTCAGCCGGATACAAGCCGCTCGTTTCAGCTAACAATTTGGTACTTTAAAAAATATAATTTTTATGTGTGTTACCATATCCGGGGACAAGCTAGCAGCGATTCCCTGAGAAATTTTTGTAATTTTTAGGTGTAATATCGTTTGTTGATTTTCATTCATTATTTTGTTGACTATACTACTGACCCCTAATCCTTAATCCCGCCCAAAAAGGTACACTATGCTAAATGGCCGTGGGGGATGCCCCGTTTCACTCAACAACAACTTCTCAAATTGCCGGAATGTCTAAATAATTTGTCGTAAGATCCGATGTGATGCGTATTTCCGTCCGACAACTCGGGGGAAGCCCCCAATGTTAGTCATCGGAATCTGGCGTCATCTTAAGATTCGGAGATTTGCGTTTTTGGATGTTTATACAATTTTGTGGGGCCTCTTGTCGGGTTGATCTAGCCGACCCGTTCCAGGCTCATCCGCGGTTTTTTAAGAACCTTATTTTCTCTCTCTCTCTCTCTCTCTCCCTTCTCTCTCTCTCTGTCTCTCTCCTTCTCTCTCGCACTCACTTTCTTACTTCACGGAGATCTGACCCTCAATTACTACGGTAATTTTCCAGCAACCCCAGCAATGACAACGCACCTGACATTTTCAAACCACTTCCCTAACCTTTAGTCTGATGCAGACATAATAAACCGCGCCCCCCGCGCCACATGCAGACATCACGTACCCATCCCCCGCTCGCCGAGCTTCATCTGAAGCGCCGAAGCGTTGCCCCAAAAACCCATGGCTGCTGGGGCTCGTCACCACTTCCGTTTGCTAAAAGGTGCGCGCAGCGAGGGGGAATGCGATGGTCCCCAAGCGGCCCTAGAATAATGGAATACCTTTTGTGGGGATGGGGGGCCACCCACACATTACCGCCCACTTGTCGAAGACGCGGCAGGACCCCTGGCATTTGGCTTTTGACTGCTGCTAAAAGCTGCCCTTTACGGATCCGGTCGGCCTACTTTTAGGGCGGGTTACTGTAGTCTCGCAGGAAGAGTAGGCTTATGCTGAATTATCGGCTTAACTTTTAGCTTTGGGCTTAGGCTTGTTCCGGCCCTTTACGGAACAAGGTCGGCCTATTTGTGGGTAGCCTACCGTAACCCTAAAGCTTTAGGTGTATGTTTATGCCGAGGGTTATGGTTTAAATACGAGGGCCTCTTTGTTTCGTTAAGTCGCTACGGTAAATCCGACTATCAAAAAATGGAAGGCCACGTGGAAGATAAGAACTACGACGTCTATGCACCATCAATCCGCTCGCAGTTGAAGTACGTTGGCTAGCGTGCTCATTTTGGCCTATCATATCGTAATCTAGGGCGCAGAATTAGGTAGTATGTACGCTCATTACGCGCGTAACGCTACACTCTACACAGGCTTGAGCAATTTTTTAAGGTTTCATCTTATGCAATTTTCTCTGGCTACCGGCAGCCCTTGTACTTCAAACACCCACCCGTGCTTCCCCCGACCTATTTACGGAAATTATCGCGGCTATTCTGGTATCGGGAAGTGCGGCGTGTATCAGATTTCCGTTCGGCCCTTTTTGCTCCAGAAACGCCACCGCAACTACCGCATGCTTACGTAGATCGGATAAGTAGGAAGCTGATGGTGGTCAGACCAGATTTTTCAGCTTTTTCAGACACCCTTTTTCGCTTCGCGAAATCCTGTTTTCGCTTCATAATGTTAAAGAAAAGGCAATCCTCGTGTCGCTGTCCCTTTAAAATTTGCCTAGAGCCTCAGAATCACGGCGTCAAGACGTTCGGAATGCAAGCATTCAATAGACTTGCAAACCCTTCGCAGGGCAAATCAATTAGGAAATTCTCTAACCACACTGGAGCTGCACTTCCCAACTTCCTGAAGCTGTCCAAAAATGGAACTGGCTGATTCATTCCTGTCAAGAAAACGCATCTACTACTTAGCCACCCTGTTCCGCTGGTCCAAAGTGACGTTTCATAAGGCCATCCAGTAGCCTGGAGGGTTGGACCAGGTGCAAAAAAACGACTTCATCGGCACGTCTGGTGTTCCTGGTAAGGTAGCGCATTTCAGCTGGGAGGTGTTAGGGTGTGTAGCGTACTGTAGCAAGGTCCGCTGATAATTTGTCTGGCTATGGGGTTTATATCCTTTTTATGTTATACCTTAGCCGCTCATATTGGGATTAAGGTAATCACCCTTTGTGCAAAATTTTTGTGAACTTCTTGAGCTCCTCGAGAGGAGAAGTCCGTTGTGACGCGTTGAAGAGGTACCCTTTTACTAGGTTCTCTTTCGTCCCGTAACCTCCTCTAAACATCTAGTTTTCTAAAAACGCTTTCTTAGCTCCTACCGTAGTTGCCTAAAATTCGTCCACTTTTTTAGACGCTATCAGGCCTTTTTGCCAATTTCGTGCTCGAGAACGTCGCTCCGAAGTTCCTCCCATCATCCCAAAAAGCCTCCTATTGGCCAGGCCAGTCATGAGAGCTAATTTCCAATTACCCTCCCGCTTCTCTCATTTGCTGCAAACTCATCGGACCGGCCAGTAATTCCACTCTGACACACCTCATCTTTTCCAAAACTTCTCCAGACGAATAATTAGTTAGGGAAAAGTCGCCATCCGAGGAAGGGGATCACCTATTCTTTGGCCAATTACGCTTCGACAATTCGTCACCCTTTTCCACGCCGCTAAAATTGCATTTTCCGGTTTTTACTCCTAACGCCTTCCGCGCGACGGGCTGCTCAGGAAAAATGGGCTTCGAACGCTTATATGGGGCTTTTTCGTCTTTCTTCGCCTTTCGATCTCTCTTTCTGTCTCTCTCTCTCTCTCTCTCTCTCCCGCCAGGCCGCCCCAAACATTAATCAAATCTCCTCCCGGCCGATGAGATAAATAAGCGTGCGTGGAGCCACGCGAAGCTCGGATTTTGCACGAAATGGCACTCAAAAACTCTGAAATTTTGCTAATTCCTCGAATCCAGAAGTGGCGAGGTGCCTACATGGACTTTGGAGCATTTCGGAATTTTTTAGGCAAAGCGGATTCCCCGAATAATTATTGCCACAGGAACAAAGTGGTCCCGCTACGCGCGAACCGAACTCGTCATTTTTGTGCAAAAACTCCAGTCCAAATCGCTAAAACTGGGCGTCAAGCGTTGTTTCTTCTTATTTTTTATCGTTCGAAAACAACCTTTTTATTTTGCTCAAACCTGGAAAACATTTATTTCAGAAATAGGCTTCCATTTCTAACTAAAAAATATGTAGCAAGGGAGTTTAGGTAATTGGTAATTTTTTTAATATGTTTTGCCCAAAAACTGACTTTGCAAAATGTTATACTGTAGATCGCATCAAAAAGGGACTAAAAACCCGGATTGCAAACAGTAGTCAGTAATCTACTGTAATCACGAGTTTTTGCAACGTTTTAAAGAATCGCCTATGGAGGAAAAGCCACATGAATAAATCACGGATTTGATAATTGTGCTTTTCTGTTGCTATGTTCCGCCGAAATTTTACATGAAATATCGCTCCAGGTAACCCCCAATATAAAATGGCCTCCATCGTCTCATCATTGTGTCTGCTGCTCGTGTTCTGCCTGAGCGTCGAGGCCGTGTTCTTGCCAAATCTCTATCAGCCAAACGAGGACGGGATGGCCGGCGCCGCCGAGAAGCGCATGAGCCGCCAGGCGTTGATTCGGCTCATGATCCAGTGAGTTATATGAGTTTTATGGTTAAATAAGGTTGAAAAATGCATTTTTAGCGCCCATCATGGAAATTATGGAAAATTCTTAGAATTAGGAATTTATGTATCCTTCGGACAATCATTATAATTTCGGTGCATTTTTGCATTACTAAAAGCTTAAAAATCCTGATTTTAAGACTAGGATGTTGAGGATTCATAGAAAAATATATAATTCCAGGCTCTACAAACATTTCTATTTTTAACGATTTCTAATTCCAAAAACCGTTGATTCTTTCTTTTTTGTTTATATTTATATTCCTAAATTTGCAAGAGCGAATTCCAAAAAAAATATCATGAAAAAACCACACGAAAAACGAGCAAAATCGAAAAATTTGGGCCGACCCCTATCGCGTCACCCATTGGCTGGGGCAGTCCCTAGGGAAGAGGCGGGAAGGGAACGGGCAACCCTTGTCATGCCCTCCCCAGTCCATCCACTCGCCGCCCGGTTAGCTCAGTCGGTAGAGCACCAGACTCTTAATCTGGTTGTCGCGGGTTCGAGCCCCGCATTGGGCTTACTTTTTGCTTTTTGCGCGAAAAGCTTGGGGAGGTATTGGAAACCAATTTTGAATGCTTTCATACCTTCATTTTATTTTTTTCAGGCGTGACCGGCAAGCTTTGGGCGCCCACGGGCCGATCAAGAGGAGTGTAAGTTTTCTTTATTTAGTTATAAAAATAATAGTTTTAATGGAATTTTATAACCTTTGGGCCCGCTGTTTAAACTTTCGATACAATCCAAACGTTTGAATCGGGAATTAGCGCCGTCGGAGCGCGCAGAAATGGCTTGCATAAACGAGCGTGACATTTTGATGCGCGGTTCAGTGACCGGAAAGGGGGATGCGTTTAGAGGAAGGTAACGTCGTTCCAAAAAGAGAAATATGCAGAAAATAGTCGGAAAATAATAATTTTGCAAAAGATATGTTTTGAAAATGTTGATTTCTAGAATACCTATCTAACAAAATACCTCTTTACCCAATCAATGCCGCTTTACGAGGTCCAAATTGTCAATTCACCAAACCAAAAGGAATTCCAAAACAGCGATTTACAACACCAGGTTTGTTTTCAAGGGTTTTCATGGCTTCACCGGTTTTTATCTGCTTGAAAATTCAAAATATTATAACTTTAAGCCCTGGTTAAAATAAATAAAAACAAAGTCGGAACCCGAAAACCCGGAAATTCTAGGTGTTGGGGACGGCGCTTCTGAAGCCGTCCGGCAAACTCCGGGGTGGCTCTGGACTCATGTGAGAGAGGCGTAGTGTAGCGTTTTTGAAAATTGCTGATTTTTCTTAGCTTTTGCTTTTTAAAACGCTTGACGAGCTTAATTGTCGAAAAATCGCACTGGGGCCGTATAATCACAAAGTTTCCCAAAAAAAATTTTTTGCTGAAGCTCTTAAAATGCTTTGCATGTTGCTTAAATCGTTATTTGTGAGTTTTGAAAGTTTTTCGTGTCAAAAAAAATTTAATATTGTAAGAATTTGGGCAAATCTAAAATTCTTCATATAAGGAAACTGAGCGTAATCTGAAATTTGGTCCAATTTGGAAAGCCAGCAGAGATTTCTTGGGAATCGATCACCCCTTTTCTCTTTTTGCATTCGAAAGCGAGGTTAGCAGCGATTCCTAAGTAAAGCCCATTTAGGAAGCTTACGCCGCAACCTAAGCCTAGGCCTAAGCTAAGCCTAAGCCTAAGCCAAGCCAAAGCCTAATCTTAATCCTACGCATAAGCTGAAGCCTCAACTAATCACTTCGGGAGTTCAGCGATTCCTAACAAGGGAACCTCACGCGGACGTGGTGGAATTTCGGAAAACGCTCACGGCTACCCCCGGGTAAACGGTCATTGCGATCACGATGCGCTTGTCAGATTTTTCTAAATACACCTGTGGACAGAGATACAGCACTTCCGGAAAATGAGCAATTTGAATGCGGGATTTGCATGACCAGTTATGGGTTCATAAAGCCCTCTGAACTTCCAGAAAGCACCGGTTGAGTGGCCGAGTGGAGAAGAGATACCGGTATTAGGTGAAGTGTCAGAGGTTCGGTCCCGCTCCGCTGCTGGCTTTTTACTTTTTGGCACAAAAACAACTTTTCAAATTTTTTTCAGGCTTCGCTTGCAAAGTTTTTTGCTCTATTACTCATATTTTAAGATTATGTTTTCAAGTTACCATAATTTAAATCTGCATTTAATATTAATGACTTTATTTGTCAAAATAAATTTTTTCCATTCGACCCGAGATGACGGCGCCGCGAATCGTCTCGGCTTTGGTAGCAGCTTTCGGAACGGCTCCTGACGACACGCCGCTGTCGCGCAAGGAACGGAAGGTGATGGAGGCCATCGCCCGTACGCTACGAGAGATCGAATATGCATCAATCGACATTGCTGAAGAGGAGGAGACCCTCGAAAACAATGAGGCGGAGGCGGTGGACCCGAATTGGAACGGCGAGGATGATAATGTAAAACAATCTTCCGGATACTTGGACGCACTGACGGCGAAGCAGTTTGGGTCACGGCGGGTGACGGAAGATCAGGTATGTAACGCATGCCCTAAAATTTTTTTTTTTAGTTGAGGGCGGCTCTGAAGCACTACCGGGAACCGAAGAAAGGCCATCGCGGCCTAGCCTCCATGACCAGCCGCTTTAATTGGATCCAAAAGCCGAGCCACCTCAACGCGCTTCGGCAATATGAGAAGACGCTGTTGGTCTACTGTCTCCACGATAGCCGCAAGCAGCTGCTCAAGCTGCTGAAGGAGAAATGCACCACGCACCTGGAAAACGGTATAAAAAATCCATTTAAACCAAAGAGACCGTGAAGTCTGTATCTAACATAGCACCATCCCTTTAAAAACCCGAATAGATTTGTACTTTGCAGGCCACTCTCTGCACGACTTTGAGTTGCGAAGCATGGCCCTACAGATCAACCGTGAAACCACGAAAATCCCTGGCTTCACCGCATCCGAGAGCTGGATTCTCAAGTTCAAGCGATTTGCCGGCCTCGTCTCCCGCCGAATCACAACATTCACCACGATCCGAAATTTCCGGTCTCAAGACGACATCAGAAGGAAGGCTGACGAGCTCGTCGAGAAAATCAAGCACGAGATCCAATCCGGAAGGCTGGCTCTGTATCAATTGGCAAACGCAGACCAATCCGGGATTCAAAAGGAGCTGCACGCGATGCGATCACTGGCCTTTAAAGGAGAGAAGAAGGTGGTGAGGCTTATCCAATCAGCCACCGCCACGACTCACTCGTACACCATCATGCCTCTGATGTTCGCTGATGGAAGTCTGGCCGAGAATTTGCTGGTGGTGATGGCTGAAAAAGGAGGTCAATTCCCGACTAACCGGCCCCCGTTCCAAGCCGACAACTTGATTTTAAGGTAAAAAACGATGAATTTTAATCATCCCCTTTTCAGGGCCTCTACTTCACACATAATGACCAAGTCATTGATGCTCGAATGGTTCCAACAGATCGTGCACGGACCAGGATCTCCAGATGACGTGACACTGCTGTGCGACTCCTGGACTCCATTCCGCGACACAGCCTCAATCCAAGCCCAAGTTCCTGCCGGGAAGAGCCTTGAAGTCCACATCATTCCCCCAGGAGCCACTTCACTAATCCAACCATGTGACAAATTTTTTTTCTGTCCCTGGAAGTGTTTCGTAAAAAAACTGTCGAACCATGTGATAATCTTTGAAATTGGTTTTTCTCTCCAAAAGAGAGACAACATTATTCTTTTGGTGTCCCAAGTCTATTATGTGTTTCGGGCCCCAAGGTTCAAGCCGTGTTGGCAAGGTTCCTGGATTTCAGCCGGCTTTCTCGATCTTCCCCCAACAAATGCGCCCACCCCATCTGATTATTGTTTTAATGTAGACCCTCTAGCTATTTGTGATGATCCGAATTGTACCAACTCCGCCCTGCTAAAATGTCCCTATTGTGATAAGCATTTCTGTTTCCAACATTTCGTGGTCGACTATCATCGTTGTTGAACCAAGCGTATAAAGAATAATAATTTATACGGAAGCCGATATTCTTAAGATATCTTCCTCTCTCTTAATCTCAATCTTCATGAGTATCTTCTCTTCTCTCTCTCTCTCTCTCTCTCTCTCTCTCTCTCTCTCTCCTTCTCTCTTCTCTTCCTCTTAAAACATGAGTAATAGAGCAAAAAACTTTGCAAGCGAAGCCTGAAAAAAATTTGAAAAGTTGTTTTTGTGCCAAAAAGTAAAAAGCCAGCAGCGGAGCGGGACCGAACCTCTGACCCTTCACCTAATACCGGTATCTCTTCTCCACTCGGCCACTCAACCGGTGCTTTCTGGAAGTTCAGAGGGCTTTATGAACCCATAACTGGTCATGCAAATCCCGCATTCAAATTGCTCATTTTCCGGAAGTGCTGTATCTCTGTCCACAGGTGTATTTAGAAAAATCTGACAAGCGCATCGTGATCGCAATGACCGATTACCCGGGGGTAGCCCTGAGCGTTTTCCGAAATTCCACCACGTCCGCGTGAGGTTCCCTTGTAAGTAAACCACATTTTTTTTGACTTCCGCGCCCTTTAAAAACCCAAAATTGCACTAAAACGTTCAAATTCTAGCCGCTTTGTCCCTAGCTTCCTCTAGCTTGCTTGTCCCGCTTCAAAATTTATATTTTTACAGCTGGAAGTGGACCGACGGAGCATCGATGCCGCTGACGACTTCCAGAATTGCTTCCTGTCCCCGGTGCAGTGCATGATCTCGCGGAAACGGCGGTGAACACCGCGATGCGTACGCGCGCTTTACGGCACTGTACTCTGTACGGTACCGTACCGTGTGTAATGTACAAATCCGGCCCCCACTTTCCCTGATTCTCAGATCAGATACCCCCAAAAATGAAATACTGATGTAGAGCTGTCCTCCCCCCACTTTCTGTCCCCTCCCCTTTCCGTTCTGAAGGCGCAATAAAAATCTTTGTTAAAAAGTACAAGACGGAAAAGTGTTGGAGCAAATAAAGTATGACATACGCAGATGGCAGTTTTTGAGGAAAACCAAGAAAAGCACGTGAAAAAAAACGTTTTAAAAACATCCTCGTTATAAAATTCCAGAATTTCCAGTCTAACAACCTAAAAACACAGAACCGAAAGCAAAAATAAAGCTTAGAGGTTTTTGAAGGGAGCGTGACAGGCAACAAGCTACAAAAAACCTGTCACAGTCATCTAAAGGGTTTCAGAAGGCAAAAACTAGAAGTATTTCTAATTAGAAGTTTTAGGTTGAAGGCTTTCTAATCGACAAAAACCGCCTAAGTTTTTCCGAAAATCCGCAACTAACGTTTCGATTTAAGACTCGATTACTTCGATTATTATTTATGATTTGATTTTTCGATTCTGAAAACGTTTTATGACTCTAGTAATTGTGATTTTGCCTTACCAGTCCCTTTAAAACAGAAAACACGGATGCGTAGTTAATTGTAAGACGGAACATTGTCGAATCCGGGGCGCTTGAAGAGACGTTCGGCATTTTTGCCCTTCGGCTGCTCGACGGCGGCGACGGCCGGGATTCGGGATTGACTGAAAGGATAGATGAGTTTCCTTAAGCTTCATGAGCTTCAAATTTCAGCCCAAAACTTCCTAGAATTTAAATAATGAAAATAATGTTCTTCTACCTGATCTCGGCAATGGAGTGATGCGAGACGGAAGCTCGGAGCGGAGGTGGCATGTCGATTTCTTCCATGTTATCGGCAACGAAAGGTCTGGAATCCGGTTCTAATCCTAAGTCCAAGCCCAAGCCCAAGCCTAAGCCTAAGCCTAAGCCTAAGCCTAAGCCTAAGCCTAAGCCTAAGCCTAATAAGCCTAAGCCTAAGCCTAAGCCTAAGCCTAAGCCTAAGCCTAAGCCTAAGCCTAAACCTAAGCCTAAGCCTAAGCCTAAGCCTAAGCCTAAACCTAAGCCTAAGCCTAAGCCTAAGCCTAAGCCTAAGCCTAAACCTAAGCCTAAGCCTAAACCTAAGCCTAAACCTAAGCCTAAGCCTAAGCCTAAACCTAAGCCTAAGCCTAAACCTAAGCCTAAACCTAAGCCTAAGCCTAAACCTAAGCCTAAGCCTAAGCCTAAGCCTGAACGCAACCATACTCCTCTGCCTTTTGTGCGCTCTGTATCTGATCAAAGTCTCAAAATTAAAATGTCTTAAGCTAGGCGTTGGTTGGATTTTTGGTTTTTTACGTCTGGCAGACGTCACTCTGTATTTTCCGGTGCATTTTCCAACCTGGGACGTTTTTGGAGGAAAATGA